GCAGAGAATGACGTCAGGAACTCACACGATCATACCAGCGTTCAGAATAAAATAATAAAATATGTGTTGGTGTTTTATGTACTAGGTATTAAAAGAAACAAAACACAATGGCGTCAATATTGTGCCTAAACTCTACTTAACGTAACTAAGGACCGTATTTACTGTATGAACCGTAAAGAATCTCCTGGGGGGAAAATAAACGTGGGAACTTTAATTATTGGAATCTAGGGAAAAAAATTACCAACGAACCATTATAAACTGTGTAGTGTGAGGGTAAATGAGGTTAGGTTAGGGTAGGATACGTGTTCGTTAAATAAAGTGAAATTAGGTAAGGGTAAGGTGTATCAAGGTAGGCCAGGATTTGTTAGCGTTAATGTAAGTCAGATTAGGGTGTGAACGCTGGTCGGGTAAAGGCACATATCACCCTTACCTCCGAGAAGGGGGAGGAGGAGGAGGAGGAGGAGGAGGAGGATTATTACTTTGGGCCGGACGACGCCTTTGTCACCACGGGGAAAAAGTCAGACAAACTGTCGGGAAAATCTGTCCGGTAAGGAAAAATGTGTTGAGGGATAGTTCTTTGTTAGCCGGGAGCTTACCTAACCCGAACCTCCTACCCCCCCCCCCTCCCCCCTTCCCGTTCTGCTTACTCTCCTACCTTCCCTTCTCCCCTTCCCTTCCCTTCTCTTCTCTCTTACCTTTCCTCTCCTCTCCTTCCTTCCTCCTTTCCTCTCCTCTCCTTCCTTCCTTCCTTCCTCCCTCCCTCCATCCTACCTTTCCTCTCATCTTAGGGAGGTTAAGTTAAGGTGTCAGTCAAGCGGGTTAAGTTAAAATGTCAGTGAGGAGGAATGAGTTTCGGTGTCAGGAGGGATGAGTTTCGGTGTCAGGAGGGATGAGTTTCGGTGTCAGGGTGTCAGGAGGAATGAGCTTCGGTGTCAGTTAGGAGGGATGAGTTTCGGTGTCAGGAGGGATGAATTTCGGTGTCAGGAGGGATGAGTTTCGGTACAGTTAGGAGTGGTGGCGGGAGCGTCTCTCTGTTACACTGGGCGGGATGAATGTGTGATGAGGTTGGTTGTGTTGTGCTGGGAGGACAACCCTGGCGGTGTGTGGCTCACTCACCCACCCCGCCCACTGATGCCACCCCGCCCACTGATGCCACCCCGCCCACTGATGCCACCCCGCCCACTGATGCCATCCCGCCCACTGATGCCATCTTGCCCACTGATGCCATCCTGCCCACTGATGCCATTCCCGCCCACTGATGCCACCTGCCCACTGATGCCACCCTGCCCGAGAATGTCACCCGCTCACTGATGCCACCCCGCCCACTGATGCCACCCTGCCCACTGGGATGCCTCTCTACTGCACTCCACTGATGCCACCCCGCCCACTGATGCCACCCCGCCCACTGATGCCACCCGCCCACAAAGGAAGGAAGGAAGAGGGAGATGAATGAGGGAAGAGAACCAGAAGCAAGAAGAGAAGGTAATGTGACAGATAGAAACTGCACTCGACCACCTTCACTGCTCAGTGTGTAAAGTAAGGTACCCATTCACAGCTGGGTGGACTAGAGGTGCCCTGTCGGTGCTAACTAGTAACTCTTAGAAAGAAGGCGAGGACTGTATCCACTCGGTCACTGCCCTCGCTAAATGAGGTGATAATGGTTGAAAAAGAGAGAGAGAGAAACAATAGAAGTTAAAGAATTTGAAAATGATGATGCCAGTGAGGCTTAAATCCTCCCCCGCCTCCCAACACAGCCTGCCTGGCCGCCATCGCTGGGCTCGAGGAAACTGATAACATCCGTGTTAAGTTTCTCTGGACCTCATCACTCGGGAGCTGTTGCCTATGACGCTGTTGATCGTCTTACCAAAGAAACAACTCAAGAAGAGGACATAGAAGCCGCCCTCGTCCTCAACCATCTTAAATCTAGGACACACACACTGCGGAACATGAGACCCTCGTCGAACATCGGACGAATCTCAAATATCAGGGTCATATACCTGACCAAATATCTCCCCCTCCTAGAGCAGTGGTTCCCAATCTTTGTCATTCCACCCCTTGGTAAACCTCCAAAATCACCGTTTACCCCATTTTCCCCCTAAAACCACAAAAAATACTAATGAATTTAGTAAATGTATAACTATAATACTATAACATTTGTAGTCATACAGTTAGTGACTTCAAAGTCAAATTGAATATAAAGAATGCAAAGTCTACCCTGCCAGGTGGAAATGAATAATAAAACCTTATTTATTGAAAAATTTCCCAGGTTTCCTTTAAAATTTTAAAACATTTCATAGCCAGCTGTTGATCCCTGGAGGTCCGTGGACTCCAGTTTGGGAACTAATGACCTAGAGACAAGGCTGGAACATGACCTTATAAGGGATCTGTCATACTTTGTTATAAACAACGAACCTGTACAGGAAATTATCCCTCTACACGATCATTCTTCCTTCTTTAAATAACTTGGTAACACAACCAGTGACCCTCAGACCCTCACGCCTCTAAATTGTATGGGTCACAGAAGGCCAGCTTGAACTCCGCTCCTTTCTTGTTGAGCGTTGTAATGCTTCTGCGCTTCGCCTCGTACAGGATACAAGAGTGTGCCCAATAAACTGTGGGAAAATCTGAATGTGAATTGGATGATTCGAAGAGAAGTGAGAGAAGGAATAAAAGCCGGTAGTGTACAAGGAAGAGTGGAACAGAAGGTGAGTGGTGAGTGGGGTAGGTAGGCACGGGAGGCTGTCGGTAGGGCAGGGTGGGTTAGGTAAGGTAGGAGGGGGGGGGGGACAGTGGCCCACCCACAGTACACAACACAACACCCTGTTATATTAAAGCCGCATTCGTGGTCACACGCCCCACCTCTCTTTTTTTATTGCGGACCATAAAGTAATATTGTCACCATATATTCCCTTTTGTTAAGTATAAAGGCCGTTACTGTGTCATAATCCAGCAATATTTAAGGCTGATATATACCGTGGTATATGATATGTGTTAACTAATATTCCCACAATATTTACTATTGTTGTAATTGTATTGGACTAGTGTGTAATATTCCTGTCGTATATAACACAGGTTTGGTTTATTGAGTATTTACTATTGATTAAAGGTTTACACTGTCAGCCATGATGATGATGATGTTTACACCAATAGTACTGTCAATAAAGGCCGTTACCCACAAGATTTAATATTAACCCATTTTATACGATAACGTAACCCCTTGAGTATGATAACCAAACCCCATGAGTACGATAACTTAACCCCATGGGTAAGATAACCTAACCCCTTTAGTACGATAACTTAACCCCATGGGTAAGATAACCTAACCCCCTTGAGTACGATAACTTAACCCCATGGGTAAGATAACCTAACCCCTTGAGTACGATAACCTAACCCCTTTAGTAAGATAACCTAACCCCTTGAGATAAGCTAACCCCATGGGTAAGATAACCTAACCCCTTGAGTAAGATAACCTAACCCCTTGAGTACGATGACCTAACCCCTTGAGTACGATAACCTAACCCCTTGAGTAAGATGACCTAACCCCTTGAGTACGATGACCTAACCCCTTGAGTACGATAACCTAACCCCTTGCCTATTATTATCAGTTTCGAAATAATGTGATGAAATTGTGAAGTGATTAGGGCATGTGTTGATGTTGGCTGGTGTGTGGAGTGACAATGGGAAATGTGTTGTTTAAAGGATTCTGAAGGGGTGAATGAGGTGTGTGTGTGTGTGTGTGTGTGTGTGTGTGTGTGTGTGTGTGTGTGTGTGTGTGTGTGTGTGTGTTAAATAAAATCAATGATTATTGCTTATATTGTTTTTATTATATTGTTTTTATAGGATAGCGGGAAAAAGGTTCTTTATATTGTGGTGTGTGATGGTTGAGTGCGTTATTAGCGGGACACACACACACACACACGCACGCACGCACGCACGCACGCACGCAAGCAAGCAAGCGCCTCCTTAATGATTACCACAATCCCAGTGACAATCTTAGCACGTTTGCATCCTCGACTCCTGCTGGCCGTGTATTATTTGATGACACACCCCTGGTTGACTGTGTGATGGCTGTTTTGGAGGTCGAGTAGGAGCATTGCCTCAAGTGTCACTCCTTAAATTGGCCTTTAAGGGAAGCACTTTGGGGTGTACAAAGCTGGCACGGTGTGTGTGTGTGTGTGTGTGTGTGTGTGTGGAGAAAGAGATGAATCGAGTGTGATTTATGGGCGTGGTGCGAAGGTCATTGCGTAATGTGTTCATGACTTGTGAGTGTGTTCATAGCGTGAGTGTGTTCATGACGTGTGAGTGTGTCCATAACGTGAGTGTGTGTCCATAACGTGAGTGTATTCATTACGTGTGAGTGTGTCCATAGCGTGAGTGTGTTCATGACATGTGAGTGTGTTCATAACGTGAGTGTGTCCATAACGTGAGTGTGTCCATAACGTGTGAGTGTGTCCATAACATGAGTGTGTTCATAATGTGAGTGTGTTCCTAATGTGAGTGTGTTCATAATGTGAGTGTGTCCATAACGTGTGAGTGTGTCCATAACATGAGTGTGTTCATAATGTGAGTGTGTCCATAACGTGTGAGTGTGTCCATAACATGAGTGTGTTCATAATGTGAGTGTGTTCATGACGTGTGAGTGTGTCCATAACGTGAGTGTGTGTCTATAACGAGTGTGTTCCATAACGAGTTTGTTCATAATGTGAGTGTGTTCCTAATGTGAGTGTGTGTTCATAACGTGAGTGTGTCCATAACGTGAGTGTGTGTCCATAACGTGAGTGTGTTCATAACGTGAGTGCGTGTGTTCATAACGAGTTTGTTCATAATGTGAGTGTGTTCCTGATGTGAGTGTGTTCATAATGTGAGTGTGTCCATAACGTGTGAGTGTGTCCATAATGTGAGCGTGTCCATAACATGAGTGTGTTCATAATGTGAGTGTGTTCATGACGTGTGTGTTCATAGTTTAGACCGTCACTAAGGTAATATATTATCTCCTACAGGTACGTGTGTGTTAATTAACGTTGAGGGCGAGATGGAGGTGTAGCCGCGAGGACACAGGTAAGACCGCACCACACCTGTCCACAAAGGAGCGCCACCACAAGCAAAAAAAAACAGGCAATAGTTCGTCTGGCGTAAGTTCCTTGCGTTATTGCAGAGAGGATCGCCACGCTGGACGTTGCTGGTTGTTCGTGCTGGCGCTGGCGGTGGTCGTACTTTATGGAGGAAAGCTTAATTATGTGATTGATGAAGGAAAGTTTAGTGATGTGATTGATGGGGGAAGCTTAGTGATGTGATTGATGAAAGAAAGCTTAGTGATGAGATTGATGGGGGAAGCTTAGTTATGTGATTGATGAAGGAAAGCTTAGCAATGTGATTGATGGAGGAAAGCTTAGTGATGTGCTTGATGGAGGGAAGTTTAGTGTAGATCTATGACTTAATGAAACGAAGTTGATCAAGTGGCACTATCTGGCACTGCCTCTCTGTATCTGACACTGTCTATCTGTATCTTGCACTCTGTTCGTCTGTTCTGGCAACCTGTCTATCTGGGAGTATCTGTATGCCTGTCTATTTTGGACTGTCTATCCGTCCATCTGTCTCTATCTCTTAGTAGTTAAAAGGTTCTTCCCCTTTTTAGGACGATTTAAGGGATTGCTATGTTGAGGGATAGATTATAAGGGGTTAGTGTATTAAAGGGTCGATTAAGGGGCTTTACCCTCATATTTACTTTTATTTTGAGTACGAGAGAGAGAGAGAGAGAGAGAGAGAGAGAGAGAGAGCACTTACATATCACATTAAAGCTGTGTTTCAAGGCTTTGTGTAATATCTCGGGCTCTCCTGCGTTCCCCCTTGTGTACCTCCCCTTGTGTTTTCCCCTTGTGTTCTCCTTGTGTTTCTCCCTTGTGTACCTTAAAATTCTTCAACGAAGGATCTTCCCCAGGTTCTCCTGTGTCTCTCCTTGTGTTTCTCCCCTGCACCCACCCAGGTTTCCCCTTGTGTACCCTGTGATCTTCCCCTGTGTTCCTCCCCTTGTGTTCTCCTTGTTCTCCCCCTTGTACCTCCTCCCCAGATCTTCTCCCTTGTGTTCCTCCTGTGTTCCTCTCCCTTGTACCCCCAGGATCTTCCTTGTGTCTCCCTTGTGTTCCCACCTTGTACCCCGTGTTCCTCCCCTGTGTACCTCCCCGTGTTCCTCCCCTGTGTACCTCCCTTGTGTACCTCCCTTGTGTACCTCCCCGTGTTCCTCTCACCATTGTTCGGGTCTGTTCCCTCTGGGCTTGTTTCTTCCTTGTTTTATCTCTTAAATATTTTCTTGTCTTAACTTGGGACTCACATCTCTGCCCAGTTTCTATTATTTTAAATTTTTTGGTTTGTATGAACGTCTTGAGTACAATGATGCTCCCTTGAGTACGATAATACGCCCTTTGAGCACCATGATGCCCCTTGAGTACGGTACTATATTATTTGAGTACAAAACTATGGCCGGTACACACGGGGTTAAAGTCCTCGTACTCATAGGGTAAGTCCGCATACTCACGGGGTTGAGTCATCATACTTATGGGGTTAAGTCATTATACTCATGGGGTTAAGTCATTATACTCATGGGGTTAAGTCGTTATACTCATGGGGTTGAGTCATCATACTTATGGGATTGAGTCATTATACTCATGGGGTTAAGTCATTATACTCATGGGGTTAAGTCATTATACTCATGGGGTTAAATCATTATACTCATGGGGTTAAGTCATTATACTCATGGGGTTAAGTCATTATACTCATGGGGTTGAGTCATCATACTCATGGGGTTAAGTCATTATACTCATGGGGTTAAGTCATTATACTCCTGGGGTTCTTAAGTTCCGTTCACTGGATATTGATTGTTAACAAGCTTCAACTTCCAGGATTATGAAGTTCCATTAAGTGTCAATTTCTTCATCAGACAACAATTTTTCTCACAATTAATGAACCAGTGTTGTAATATGCGCCTCATCACACGTGTTCTGCACCTACGTGAACCACACTCAGGTAAAATAATTGAATACATTTAACTGTTTGAGTCGAGACTATATCTTCAACACTGTATCGAGTCGAGTGTTTAATGATTCACAGTAATGAACTTTAGGCTTTGACGTCTCGCTCGCTTGATATTAATTGTTTGTGTTTGATGTAGTAGACGAGGAGTGGGTTTTACATCAGGTATTGCAAGATATTGTTCAGTCAACTCTTCATGTTATAGAAAAGGTGAGTTTTGTTCCGCTTGTTCTCACTCGCTTAAAAATCTAGTTCGTGTTTTTTTTTCTTTTTTTTCTTCCCAACACTGCACACTCCCACTCCACACACCCTGCTACCCCACACCCCACATACTTTCACCCTTCACACTCCCCACCACCCTCACCCCACACACCCTATACTTGGTAATGGATGGAGGCCAAGGGATAAATTTAACATTTTATTTTATTATTTGTTTTTATTTTGTTTTTAATATTAAATGTTATGAGAAATGAAGAAAAAATAACAGTGAAAGTGGGTCCCATACTCCAGGCGGGTCGTTAGGGAAAGCGCACTGTAACTTAACCCCTGGAGTACGGTGACAGTCTTTGTATTCAGGGTCAAGTCGTCGTACTCAAGGGATCAAGTCGTCGTACTCAAGGGGTCAAGTTGTCGTACTCAAGGGGTCAAGTTGTCGTACTCAAGGGGGTCAAGTCGTCGTACTCATGGGGCCAAGTTGTACTCAAGGGGTCAAGTTCGTACTCAAGGGATCAAGTCGTCGTACTCAAGGGGTCAAGTTGTCGTACTCAAGGGGTCAAGTTGTCGTACTCAAGGGGGTCAAGTCGTCGTACTCATGGGGCCAAGTTGTACTCAAGGGGTCAAGTTGTACTCAAGGGGTCAAGTTGTCGTTCTCAAGGGGTCAAGTCGTCGTTCTCAAGGGGTCAAGTCGTCGTACTCAAGGGGTCAACTCGTCATACTGGATGGGTTAAGACTTCGTACTCAAGGGTCAAGTCGTCGTACTCGAGGGGTCAAGTCGTCATATTGAATGGGTTAAGGCTTCGTGATCAAGGGGTCAAGTCGTTTTACTCAAAGGGTTAAGGCTTCGTGTGGTTCATATTCTCGTTGCGTCACAGTTACGGTGATTGTGTTGAGTGACGTTGACTACATCTTCTTAGGAATATTTAATAGGGTAGAGAGCTGACTCCTGTAAACTCATTTTATATACATCATTTTCACGGACGGACACGATAACACTGTTAGAACCTTGTGTGTGTGTGTGTGTGTGTGTGTGTGTGTGTGTGGAGGGTGAGGAGGTTTCAAGGATGGTAAGGGAGGTTCAGAGAGGGCGAGGGAGGTTCAGGGAGGTTTAGGGAGGGTGAGGGACGTTCAGGGAGGTTCAGGGAGGGTGAGCGAGGTTCAGGGAGAGTGAGGGAGGTTTAAGGAGGGTGAGAGAGGTACAGGGAGGTGGTGGCCGCCGTGACCTGGTGTGTGGCAGGTCCATAACGTAAGACCGTCACAGATGTCACAATATACTGTATAGGTGGTCGGGTGGTGCCTGAGACCGAGGCTGGTGGTGGTAGTGCTGATGGTGGTGATGATGGTAATGGTAGTGATGGTGGTAGTGCTGCTGATGGTGGTGATAGCGTTTATGGTAGGAATGGTGGTAGTCCTAGATGACTTCACACAGTCTCCTCGTCTATACATCTCAAAAAAGTGTACCAGTCAACAGTTAAACTAAAATATATCCCAACCCGTTGCTCTCCCTGCGAAAATATTTAACCTTTTTTAGCTAACCTTTTTTGTCGGGAGGGTAGAAACTAAACGATGTGTCAATAGCAGAAATGGCTCGCTTATAACAGGGAGTCACCCCCCCCCCCTCCCCAGTGTGTGTGTGTGTGTGTGGTAAAAGTTAACACAAATTTGCCAGTGTATGTTGAGTGGCGTTGTAAATATTGTTGACCGACGGGATCACAAGCTTTAGTTGGTCATAAAGACTCGCCCCTTGATAAGTCCTCTTGAATATACGAGCTCAGCCATTGTAAACACTTTAAAAAAACTACTGAGTCTTATCTATGGGTTTTCATTGGTCCTTCTAACTCCATGTTGTTGTTGATGTTAGAGTTAACGAGCTCAGGCATTGTTTTCATGGATCGTCGGTGTCCTCTCTTGGGGTTGGTGTACGGTACAGGGTGTCTCAGAAAATATATGCACGCGCCCTTATAGATTTTCGTAGAGATTTTGCGTCATCTCCACGAAGATCTATAAGGACCTGTGTGTATATTTTTTTTCTGAGACACCCTGTATAGTCGACAGTGTGTGAGGCGATGTAATGGATGTTATGGCAGCTTAGGTCGATTGTTATTGTTAAATCTGTGGTATATTGGCCGGTGTGAGCACTGTGTGGAGGTCGGTGTGAACACTGTGTGGAGGTCGGTGTGAACACTGTGTGGAGACCGGTGTGAGTACTGTGTGGAGGCCGGTGTGAACACTGTGTGGAGGCCGGTGTGAACACTGTGTGGAGACCGGTGTGAACACTGTGTGGAGGCCGGTGTGAACACTGTGTGGAGGCCGGTGTGAGTACTGTGTGGAGACAGGTGTGAACACTGTGTGGAGGTCGGTGTGAACACTGTGTGGAGACCGGTGTGAGTACTGTGTGGATGCCGGTGTGAACACTGTGTGGAGACCGGTGTGAACACTGTGTGGAGGCCGGTGGGCGAGGGTACGTCCTCAGGTTTGGTGATAAAATGAACGCCAGCCGTAATAGACCCCAACTTAACCTAATCATAAGGCTTTAAGTATACTGGGCTTAGGATCCTTGGAGAACGGAGCCCATTTGAGCAGTCTCTGTTGGGTGTAGTCGTGGCGGTAATGTAGTTATAACCGGTATTTATTTTAATGGTGCTTCTCTGTTTAATGGTGCTTCTGTTTAATGGTGCTTCTCTGTTTAATGGTGCTTCTCTGTTTAATTGTGCTTCTCTGTTGAATGGTGCTTCTCTGTTTAATGGTGCTTCTCTGTTTAATGGTGCTTCTCTGTTTAATGGTGCTTCTCTGTTTAATGGTGCTACTCTGTTTAATGGTGCTGCTCTGTTTAATGGTGCTTCTGTTTAATGGTGCTTCTGTTTAATGGTGCTTCTCTGTTGAATGGTGC